TATATATGGGATGCACCGATACACGCATCGGTATCGGGACCGATACAGGGCATATTGACCAGTACTTGTATTCGTGAAAATCCCCCGATGCAAAGTGCCGAAGCTTTCACTATGTTTTTTTTTCTACTTACCGTGTCACGCTGAGTGTCGTGTCACTCCAAGCAGTCGCCGACCACCTAAATTAGGACCCCACCTGGAGCGCCGCCCTCGAGCAGCAGTGATGCGACGCTCCTCTCCAGCTCAGCAACGACAATGTCATAGTGAGGCACCACGATCAAGGGAAGAGTGAATAAGACGGGGCCTGGGCTTTGTTCTTGTTCACACAAAAAACTATCTACTGCTGCAGTGCATTCTATATGTACTGTATACACTTGTGCTGATAAGTTTACACACCCTGGCAGAATTTATGCTTTCCTGGCCATTTTTCTGAGAATATGAATGATATAACACAAAAACCTTTCTGTCACTTATGGATAGTGTTTGGCTGAAGCCATTTATTATCAATCAACTGTGTTTATTCTTTTCCAATCATAATGACAACAGAAACTACCCAAATGACCCTGATCAAAAGTTGACAAACCCGGGTGATTTTGGCCTGATAACATGCACACAGGTTGACACAAACATGTGTGAATGGCTATTAAAGGGAACCACCCTCAACTGTGATCTGTTTGCATGTAATCAGTGTGTGTGCATAAAAGGCCAATGAGTTTCTGGCCTCCAGACAGACCCTTGCATCCTTCATCCAGTGCTGCACTGACGTGTCTGTGTCATGGGGAAAGCAAAATAAATGTCAAAGGACCTGCGGGAAAAGGTAGTTGAACTGTATAGAACAGGAAAGGGATATAAAAAGATATCCAAGGAATTGAGAATGCCAATCAGCAGTGTTCAAACTCTAATCAAGAAGTGGAACATGAGGGGTTCTGTTGAAACCAAACTACGGTCAGGTAGACCAACTAAACTGTCAGCCACAACTGACAGGAAAATTGATCGGGATGCAAAGAAAAACCCACAAATAACTTCAGGTGAAATACAGGACACTCTGAAAACATGTGGTGTGGCTGTTGCAAGATGCACAATAAGGAGGCACTTGGAGAAAGATGGGCTGCACGGTCAAGTCGCCATAAGAAAGCCATTACTACGCAAATGCCACAAAGTAACCCGCTTACAATACGCCAAACAGCACAGAGACAAGCCTCAGACCTTCTGGCACAAAGTCATTTGGAGTGATGAGACCAAAATTGAGCTTTTCGGCCACAACCATAAATGCTACATTTGGAGAGGAGTCAACCAGGCCTATGATGCAAAGTCCACCATTCCTACTGTGACACATGGAGGCGGATCGCTGATGTTGTGGGGATGTGTGAGCTACAAAAGGCACAGGAAAGTTGGTCAGAATTGCTGGCACGATGAATGCAGTATGTTATCAAAAGATACTGGAGGGCAATTTCCATGCATCAGCCCGGAAGCTGCGCATGGGACGTACTTGGACATTCCAACATGCCTATGATCCTAAACACAAGGCCAAGCGACCTGTCATTGGCTACAGCAGAATAAAGTGAAGGTTCTGGAGTGGCACATCTCAGTCTCCTGACCTCAATAGCATTGAGCCACTCTGGGGAGATCTCAAACGTGCAGTTCATGCATAGTTACATAGTTAGTCAGGTTGAAAAAAGACACAAGTCCATCGAGTACAACCTATAGAGATACAAAGAGAAAAAAAAGAAAAGCCTAAACAGAACACTATGCCCACAATTACCCAATGTTACCCAATGCAAGACAGCCCAAGAATTTACAGGACCTGGAGGAAGAATGGGCAGCTTCACCATCTGAGAAGATAAAGAGCCTCATCCACACATACCACACAAGACTTCAAACTGTCATTGATATTAAAGGGGGCAACACACGGTATTAAGAACTGGGGTATGTAAACTTTTGATCAGGATCATTTGGGTAGTTTCTGTTGTCATTATGATTGGAAAAGAGTAAACACTGTTGATTGATAATAAATGGCTTCAGCCAAACACTATCCATGAGTGACAGAAATGTTTTCATGTTATCATTCATATTCTCTGAAAAATGGCCAGGAAATCATAAATTCTGCCAGGGGATGTAAACTTATGAGCACAACTGTATGTGCTACATATAGAATGCACTGCAGCAGTAGATTTACAACTCTGCACTGCTAATCTTTCTGACACTGCACTGTTGCCCTTCTTTTGCCTTGTACCAGTCTTGCCACTCTCTGTTCTGCCCTAACATTGACCAGTCGCTGACGGCGACTTTTCTCTCTTTCTTGTATCTTCTCCCTCTCTTCTCATCTCCTCTCTCTCCCTTTTCTGCTCGCTCTCTCCTTTCTCTTTTCTCTCTCTTTCTTTTCTGTTCTCTCTCTCTTCTCATCTCCTCTCTCTCCCTTTTCTGCTCGCTCTCTCTATCTCTTTTCTGTTCTCTCTCTCTCCTTTCTCTTCTCTCTCTCTCTCTCTTTCTTTTCTCTTATCTCCCTTTTCTGCTCTCTCTCTCTCTCTTTTCTGTTCTCTCTCTCTCCTTTCTCTTCTCTCTCTCTCTTTCTTTTCTCTTATCTCCCTTTTCTGCTCGCTCTCTCTTTCTTTTCTGTTCTCTCTCTCTTTCTTTTCTGTTCTCTCTCTTCTCATCTCCTCTCTCTCCCTTTTCTGCTCTCTCTCTATCCCTTTCTCTTCTCTCCCTTTCTCTTCTCATCTCTCTCTCTCTCCTCTCGATAATATGTAATTTATATCTATCTCATTTCAAAATTGTAAACCCTTAAATGTCCCAATGAATCCTGACTCTTCTTTTTTCCAGTACACATATTCGGACAGATATCTATGGAGTGCGGGTTGTATTTCACTTACTACATTTCCTGTGCTGTTCATCTCACCGATTCCCCGGGGGAGACGGAGATTTAGATCATGATGCTGGAGATGTGTAGAAGAATGTTGCAGCTCTTCGTGTATGCCCATGCTGCGGCAGAGGTTACTCACAGCTCTCCATCTTCTCAGCCTTTGACAGGCCCCTTTTATATTCTTTACAAAAGGCCACTTTGGTGATTTGTCCCCCGAGGTGTTCCTTTTCCCAAAGCTAATAATTAAGTTTATTTCTTTCAACATTGCAAATAAAAATAAATATGTTGATTGCATCAGACGGAGCATTTGGTTGCATCAGACTGCAAACTATTTAGAATCAATAAAAAAAAAAAAAACATTACTGATTAAAAAAACACTATTTTGTATATATTTATATCAGTAATAAGTAAAACAAAAGAAATGAACTGTCCATAATTTACACAAATAGCTAAAAATAAATGTTACAGCAATTTCACACAAACAATTTGTTGGGGGCTTTCAACAAATTTTGGGTTAAACAGCGTTTGCAGTCTCTGACATTTCATCTGCAGCATTACATATACTGAGAATCATGTCCGGCCCTTACATGAGGTCAGGGGCTGCAGCTGAGGCCTCCTATACCTCGTAGGTTTACAACCACTGCCCTAGAGAGGGCCACATGTAAATAATGCAGAAAGTCAACCATTTCTCAGACCCGGCTACATCTGCCACCAGCAATCATTCCAGAGCTTGTACTTTAGATCAGCCTTTCACAACCAGGGTGCCACAGCACCACAGTGTGTCTTCTGGCTTCGAAGGCACCCCTGATCTTTTGTCACTATGTCACCCGGAAGAAGGGACCCTGCGTGGCCCCGAAACATTGGCTGTTTGACGCATGTGACAATCTAATAAAACATGCTTTACTTCTTGCACGTATCTTCGAGTGCTGGTGACTTCTATTATGGCCTCCTGCATATCTGCACACTCTGCTTTTGGGCCCACCCCAAGTCAGCTTGTACCCTGAGGCAGGCTGATTCTGCATGACTGAGCCGCATCAACACGGGGTTCCTGAGTCACTGTTTGGCGTGGCACCCGCCCCTGTCTTTCTGTGAGTTCCTGGTGCAGGGGTTCCACACAGGGTTCATTGCTTTGCCTAACTCCTCTTTTGAATGCAGGAATAGTCTTCTCTGGATCCGGGCATTGGTGGCTCAGGAGTTGGAGAAGGGTTTTGTCATTGGTCCCTTTGTTACTCCCCCAGGGGAAACACTTCTAATAAACTCTGTTTGATTCATGACTTGTCTGCTCCTCATTCGTCCAGTGTGCCTAGTCTGAATTCACTGATCCCGTCACAGGAATTTTTGCTTAAATATTCCTCTGTGGATCAGGCTATTCAAGCTATTTTCCAGGCAGGGGCTCCTGGTTGTCCAAAGCGGACATTTCCAATGCTTTTAAACTTCTCCCGATCAGGCCTTCACTTTGGCAGTGGCACGGTGTCAAGTGGAGAGA